CCGGGAGTAGTAGAAAAACAGCGTGCTCAAAAAGCCAAGGCCGATAAAGATACCCTATTTCGTGTGCACGTATAATCCGAATTTATTTTTTTATTTTTATTTTTTAATTTTCCTAATGTACAAGTTTCTTTCTCTCTCTCTCTCTCAATTTCGATTTTCTTCGATTTTGCGATTGTTCGAGTGCGAAAAAAGTTTCGTGAATAACCCCAATACTGTCTCTTTCAGTTGATTTCCCGGTTTCACTGGTTGAGTCTACTCGACTTTCACTTGATTCTATGGTAACCCCCTATAAACTTCATTTCTCTCTGGTGATTTTCTGCTCTTTTATCGTTTCCATCACTGTTTATGTGTTTTTCTCTGTAACTCGTTTGGGATTGACTAATTTGTTGGAATTCGTTGCATTCCGATTGATAGAGGAGCTCTCTTGGTTGATTTGTTCACCGGAATTTTATGAAATTTTCGGTTTCTGATCAATTGGATTTGAATTTGTTTATGTTAGTGTAATAAAGATTCTTGAATTTGTGCTTATTGATGTGTAGTTCAAAGTTTGATTTACATGGGGTTGATTGAGGAGTGTTCTTTTTTTCTTTTTTCTTTTTCATGCTCTCTTGATACAGATGTTATGTTAGTTTGAATTCTTTGTTATTTATTTATTTCTTTCTTGTCTTCCTTTTGGGGTTTCAGTTTATGTATTTGAGTTGCATGTGGTGGATTTTCCATGGGAACAGTGGTTGGATTTGTGGAGAATGAAGGGAAGATTGTTGACAGCGGGATCCTGCAGGATGTCTCAACTCTTTCTCCAAATCAGATTGCCGACCCAGTTGTGTACAAACTTGTTCGGGTATCTTTTTTCACTTATTTGGTTTGAACTTAGAAGATTGATTTTCTTGTTTGATGGAGTTTCTTTCTTTAGCTACTAATGGCGAATTCTGCATCTTTGGTGCAATAATCTTCGAACCATACCCGAGTATAATCTCTCGTGATTGAATAGAACCTCTAGGTTTTGAACTGTTTTTGGTGCAATCTATCCATGTTCGCAAGTTACTGATTGGTGGCTTTATAAGCTTTTAGCTGATAGCATCATTCTGATTGGAGTACTCTATGCAGGTTAAAGAATACCATCATAGTCATAGAGATGTCCATTGATGAAGGTACTGAATGGATGTTTGAAAATAAACATGTTTCAGATTAATATCTTTGGGGAAATAAGAAGGATGAGTTCAATCCATGGTGGTCATCTACCTAGGATTAATATCCGACGTGTTTCCTGTCAACCAAAGGTAATAGGGTTAAGCGGTTTTCCGGTGAGATTAGTCAAGGTGTAGACAAGCTGGCCCAGACACTCATCCATAAAAAACAAAGAAAATAAAAAGCAAATTGTTTCCGACTGTGAGGATCAAGAAAATAAACGAGTTCTCTTATATCCCAATTATTTTTTGTATAGCAAGCATTCTTATGTATGTCTAGTTAGTAACACATCAGGTCGGATTGTCACTTTGGTACAGTGGAACTACCTTTTTAATTTTTTTTTTTTTTATATATAGCTTAAAGACAACATGCAATTTACATCAGGTTTGGTAATTTCGTTAAAAATCCTCAAATATCTGTGGAAGAAGGTACATGATCTCATCATTTTCATCAGTGTTGTAGTGGAGATTGCAATACTAGTATCAATTGCCTTTTCCTTTTCTTTTCACATTCCATAATAGTTTTCATTTAAACTTCTCATTCGCTTTGTATGTCAATCTAGGTTGATGGTGATGGCAGATTCGTTCCTGCCACGGATGATGAAGTAATGGAGGTCGAGGATTTACTTGAAGATGACAAGAGTGAAAAAGTGGAAGATGCAGGACAAATTTTAGAATGCGTACCCACTGAAGGCACTTTATTTGGGAAGCCTCGTGTCAAAATTTCAAATGGTTGTTTTTCCTTTCGGTTTTGCCTCTTTGTTTTTTGCTATTATAATTACTCCTTAGTGTGTCCTTTGTAGAATAGGATGTATTGAACGCTTTCAATCTTCAGTGTGTTATTTTTATGGGGAGCGATTAAATTTTCATTTTTACTTCGTCTGTCAACCCTACATTCTCAAATAATCTTCTCCCAGTCTTACTATAGGTTGCTAGTCATATCATATAAACATGGTTATGATGATCATATCTGTTATTGGTCATGTGCATCGATAATTTTGTACCTTTTGAGTTGCACTGGTCCGATTGGATTGTTCATAGCTTAGAAAGATTATACACACTTCATGTTATCAACTTGGCTCAACGTGTTCCTTTTTTTTGTTGACTTTGGCTTATGATGTCTGCATTGTTGAGATATGGCAGGTTTGCCACAATCTGAAGGTGATGCAGGGTATACAGCCCGATTGGAGGTACAAAATTTACTTTCTTATGATATGAAATGTTTTTATTGCTTGGATTGCTAAAGGAAATTTGTTATAAGCTATAGTAATTGTTAATATTTCTTAGCGTTCTCTGTTTATTTGTCTTAGATGGATTTCACTCTCTTCTCAAGAAATCTTTAGAGTTTTGACGTTTTCTCCTAGTGTGAAGTGTGTTTTTAGTAGCTTCCTTATTGAGTCACTAATAATTTGAACTGATTTTTCCTTTCATTGTCGTATAGTACATTGAGGAGGTATTGCAAAAGGTGAAACGGGAAGAGCGGCTCCGCTTAGCATGTGGATCACTTAACTATCCTTCTGCTTACGTGGATGGAGACAGGAAGGGTTCTGATCAGCATGGTAGATTGCCTGTTACTGATGAGAAGTTCCAATCTCAAATTTCACTGCAGGAAATTTCTCACTGCTCTCCAAGTTTAAATGAGAATCATGAGAATGAACATGGGAGTCTGGGCAATTTCTTAAAGCATCCAGACAAATCAGTGGAATCTGAATCCTCAGATGCCATTTGCACGACATCTAAGCCTGACTTTTCCATGTTAAAGGGGGACATATGCCTGGATAATCTGTCAATCAGAGAACTCCATGAATGTTTCAAAGCAACTTTTGGGCGAGACACTACGGTTAAAGACAAATCGTGGCTTAAGAGGAGAATTGCTATGGGATTGACCAACTCATGCGACATTCCAGCCTCATCTTTTATAATTAAGGAAGGCAAGTTTATTGAAGAAAGTTCCCAAAATGTGGTGGGCGTGTCTACAATTCCAACTGCAGAAGCTTTGAATATTGAATGCAGTGGTTCACCGACAACTTATTGTTTGGAAACTAAGGACCATCATCACATTGAGGAAATTGAACTTGATCATGGAATTGAAGATCAACACGAAGAGAGAGCTGCTGTTAAAAGAATTCGGAAGCCCACCAGGCGGTATATTGAAGAGCTTTCTGAAGTGGAGTCAAGAGAGTATGTCCCAAAGGTGATAAGTTTGAATAAAAGTTCTGTATCTGATGGCGTATCTGCTAATTCTATTGAAAGACCTAGTAAGAAAGTCTGTTCAGATAGGGGAAGAACTGTCATAACAAGATTGGATTCACTTGGTGGATCTGGCGTACAAGTTCCATGTGTTTCGAGAGTTCGAAGGAGTCGTCCAAGGAAAGACATCGTAGCCCTTGTGGTATGTGTTTAGGCCTATTTAAGTTAATGTTTTCCGTTCTTCAGTATATGGATAGGGATCGAACACCCGACTAGTTTAAATTTTGAAAAGTGACCCCTTCTTTTGAATGGCTAGTTTATGGTTACTCATACTAATTGTCTGGATGGCTTCTGACTGCTGGGTTATTCTATTTTTTTGGCTCAGTTTACCCTTCCAGATAAAGATCAGAATCCTTCAGTCAAGGACACGAATGAAGTGGAGGAGAAGAATTTGGAGGAGAAGCCAACAGATTCTGGCAATGCATCAGATGATAATGCAATAATTGTTCCAACACCAAAAAGTGGATCAAGGAGGAAGCATCATCGCGCTTGGACTCTTGTCGAGGTCATCAAATTAGTAGAGGGCGTGTCGATATGCGGGGCTGGGAGATGGTCTGAGATCAAGAAACTATCTTTTTCATCATACTCGTATCGTACATCAGTTGATCTCAAGGTGCATTTACTCGTAAACTAAACCAGAATTCCCAAGGAAGAATAACGAAATAGATCGTGGGGGGGCTGTGCATTTGGGAATCATGCGTATTGATTATCTTTTATGTTGTTGTTTAGCTGAAAACAGGTTTCTATTTTGTAGGATAAATGGAGAAACCTGCTCAAGGCTAGCTTTGCGCAGACGCCTGTTGGTGAAGGGGTAAGTGTTCGATTGAATGTCACTCGCTGTTCTTTGATTATGCCCCTAATGACATTATCATTATGTTATATACTTTAATCATCATTTTTGAATAATCAATGTAGATGAGTTCTCGGAAACATGTGTCGGTGTCGATTCCAGAACAGATCTTGTTACAGGTGAGGGAGCTTGCTGAGATGCATGCTCAAATTCCTCCTTCAAACCATGGACAAGGCAAATTGGGTGGAGTTAGTAGTGGGAGCAATATGCACGAGATAAGTCCGGCAGTGTGCTTGTAACATTGTAAATAACACAAGCTTGTCTTATTTTTTTTTTCACCCCTTGAAAAAGAAACCGAAAACAAAAATCTTGATCTGAATCCTATAGCAACAACTGTTCTTTGCTCGTGGAGAATTGTAGGAATTTCTTGAGCTTTGATCATCTATTTTTGGTTACAAGATGCTTTTATGGCTCCTACAACTTCTTAAACTCCACTTGTGCCTAAATTTTGTACTGTATTTTGGCCTGATGTAAGAGCCAAGCTTGTTTTGGATCCGTTTGCAAAAAAAAACATCTTTTCAGAATAAAATTTTCATCTACAGTGAATTCTCAGGTAGTAGCCAGTAATAACAGCTCCCCGATTGAGAGGCCGGGCCAGAAAACATGGTTTGATAACTCGATTTCGTTTCCGAATAAGATCATCCAAATATGCAACCAGAATGCTTCTAGGCTTCTTGCTTAAAGGCTTAAAATTTGTAAAAGAGAGAATTACCTGATCACAAATGCTAAATACTGTCACATTTCTCCAAACAAGAGATCATACTTGTCAATATATCAGCCAAATACTTACTTGGATGAATAGAGTTCCAATATAATCAATACATGATTTAATTTTATATTATCGGAGTGTTATTATTTCCCCATTATTATTGGATACCTACATCTTTCTCAAGTTATCCAGCCTAGCCTGCAAGTCACTGTCAATTCCAGTATCTTCGGCTTCTGCTTGGGCAACCCTATTATTTGCAGTTGATACTGACACAGAAGCTGAGGGTGCATTCACAAGCTGCATGTGAGAGGATACCAAAAGGCAATCACCATCGTGTTTATATTACCTTTCCCACAATAATATATGGACCATTATGAAAAAATGTAGGCATGTTTACCTCCGAGTTGATATCAATTCCAATCTCATCAAGCACCTGACTTACAAGCTCTTCTGTCTCCTCTTCTTCTTCATCTCCTTCAAAAGCATCGTCAAGAGCATCTGCCATCATTTCAGATGTCATTTCCATCTTCTCATTCTGCCTCTCAAACTCTTGCATTATCTTCTGCAATGCCGGCAAGTTCATCTGCCTATTCATCTGTCCCATTGCCTTAGTAACACCCTTCATGGCTTCTCCCATAGCTTGAGTTGATTTCAGAGTCTGCAGAAGCAAGCAATTGGAGCTAAATTTGAATAATCACAACTGTAGAAATTGTGTAATTTGATTAAAAAACAGCTACATATCTTTATGGTCTAAAAAAGAATGTAAGAATTCGTTTGAGAATGTGTGCATGTATATATATGAGAACATTTAGTAGTTTTTTTAAAGGTTGAAAACTCCTCTTACAATGATGAACAGTTTCTTCAAATACACAATGACATTTCCTCTTTTTAATGATATAGCCCACGTGTTTCATAATAAATAATGGAAAATTATAATTATTTAGTAGTGCATTTCAACAGACTTGAAATTCGTGAATCCATTATAGGAAGAAATTCAAAAAACCTTGAAGCTAGAAAATAGAATTCCCTCAAATTCCCAGCTTTGTTCAAATGTTGCTTTTGTGAAACAACAAAACTAGAGGATGCGAGTGATATTAAACTAGTATTAAAGCATTTTGTTATTTGGTTTTAATTACGTGGGAAGAAGATTGTAAAATGATTCTTTTCTTTTCATATATTCAGCACATAAGCACACCTGACGAGCTGTAGAAAATTATAACCATAAGCTTTCAGTTAGACTTTAAGAGCTCATCTATCAGGAATGACTACACCTCATCCTAGTACATCAAATCAATAATTGTAATCCAAAAAATTTGTAGAACAGCAGTAATTGTATTCGCTCTGATGAAAATGAAACATGAGGGGCAATAATACTCATGGTTTTGAAGAAAAGTGTACATATAATACCTGAATTCTCAAAGCCACGCCCTGGAGCTGTGATTTTAGTTTATAAAACTTTTCAATCTGATGTCGCGTCCTGATAAGATCTTTGGCCATTATTTTAACAGCTCCCTGCAAAAGACAAATCGAATAAAGGAAATTGTGCAGAGTTGATGATGACAATCCATCGCCCTGCCTAAAGAATAAAAAGAATGGAAGGCTAGCTTTCGACTCAAAAAGTAGAAGCACGCTTACTTCCAGTACAACTAAAGAAATGCTGTCACTAAAGATGTGTCGATGTTAAAGTACAAGTTCTAAATTACTCAACTCACCATCTGTCCTTGTTTAGCATTTTTCTTTATCTCGACAATCAACTTCTTTTCTTGAGACTGCAAGCCTTGTCTTTCCCGTTCTATTTCTCTAATGGACTTATCTAGCATCCTCTTGTTCTCCCGCAGAATCTCTGCGCAGGAAACCAAAACAGATTTACAATCTCGAGCCGTCTATTCTAATTTACGCGCGAATTTACTTGCACAAATTATAACGCATAGAAAAGTATTGATTCCTCGACATCACGAGCAAAATTACAAGTATTGAAATAACAGTTAAGTCATCCACATCAAATTGACGTTTGCAGGACTTAACTCCAGAGTTAGAAATTCATCACAAGAGATCACGCTATCACAAGAACAAAGCTCCGGAATATAAATTAATTGAGAAGGTAAGAACGCAGAACTTAATCCACATCAAATTGACATTTACAGGACTAAATTCCAGAGAGAAATTCATCACAAGAGGTCACACCAACATCAATAACCTATCTCCAGAATATGCATAATTAGAGAAGGTAGAACGTTAAGAACCTGCGGGAGTTTTTCGGCTACCGAAGAGGAAGCTCATACTTGATCGTCAATTAACCAAACCAAAAGATTCGTGCAATTTCCGATCGCGATAAGCTTATTCCTTCTCCTTTTCACCTTCCGTCACTCTGCAAATCTCTCGCTGTTCAAAATCCGTCGACGAATTCCCCGGCGATGGTGAGCTCTCCCCTTGGAGGAGCCACCTTTTCTTATGGTAGATCGGCAAAAGCAGTTTTAGACTTGTACTGATAGTTCGATTGAAATGTTGAAGGCCGAAGTCCTATATTGGGCCGTTTTGATTATTGGGCTTTCAATGTGGATCGTAAATTCAGCCGTATGGAGATGAAAATTCCATAGGCCCATAATTAATGAATCAAGTGGGCCTCGATACAAAGCCCTCTCAGGCAAGGAACCAACCATATTCCTTCGAAATCCCAACGTATAAGATACCTATATATATATATATATATATATATATATATATATATATATATATATATATATATATATATTTATAAATATTTCTTGAAAAATATTTTAAATGCATAAAAAACTATTTTCAATGGGAGAGGATTCGGCTGTGAAAATGGATAGGTACTTAATTATAAACTAAACGAAAATGGTAGACCTCTTCGATCTAGCAGGACCGGGCCTATTGGGACCTGCCCCAAAGGGAATTAGAAATAAAGAGGGAGTAAGGAAAGATTTTTCCTCGTTAGCTAGGACCTAGGACCGTCAATTTCTAGATATTGTCCTCTTTGAGAGCTTTCCCTTATCAACTTCCTCTTAAGGCTTTAAAACACTAAATCCACCCCCTTCGAGACCCAACATCCTTATTGGCACATCACCTCATGTATAACCCCTTCAGAGAACAACCTCCTCGTTGGCACATAGTCCGGTGTCTGGTTCTGATATCATTTGTAATGGCCCAAGCCCAAGTCCACTATTAGCAGATATTGTCCTCTTTGAACTTTTCCTTTCGGGTTTTCCCTCAAGACTTTAAAAAAACGCATATGTTAAGAAAAGATTTCCACACGCTTATAAAAGGTGTTTCGTTATCCTCTCCAACCACAACCAAAATGGGATTCTCACATGACATACCACCATTCTCGAGAAATATATTCATATTGATACAAACGTTTAAAGGTAATCTCACATATGAGTAATTTTTGTTAAAAGCATCAAAGATTAATTGATTGTTTTTATTTGCAATTATGGATTTATATGATTAACTTAGATTCTAAATAGGGATATTATAGTAATTATAATGGGAAGGAGATCAATAATTATATAATTAAAACTCTAATCTTTTTAACAATAAATCAATTTAAATCATTAACAATCTTATTAAAAAATAAGACTTTTAAATTTAAAATATAAAAAAAAAAAATTGAAACAGATTACCTTGATAATTAAGATCAAGACTAAAGAAAATTCGTTTTTAAACTCTATGTTTTGAATCACTCTACAAGATAACTTGATTGAGATACTCTAACATGCAAATATAAAAAAATAAAAATATAACATACCATTCTCATTTTAGTATCTAAAATCTTCCCTAAAGCAATAATATTCTGCAGACAATATGATCCTTACAAACTCTCCGTGTGGAATTTCCACCTCGATCGTTACAAAAATAAATAAAAAATTTCACGAATATGAAGATTGAAAGAGGTAGCAAGGAGGGGAATAAAAAAAAACTTCACCGACCCACCTCGCACCTGTTGAGGATTGATGGAAGAAAGTCTCACGTTGACTAATTTAAAGGATAGTCATGGAGAGACAAGAATCTCCGTTCGTATGAGGTATTTTGGGGAAGCTCATACCAAAGCCATGAGAGATTCCACTCAAAGTGGATAATAGCATACCATTGTGGAAAGTCGTGATTCCTAACAGCATCATGAACATCTCTAATCAGAAGTTATCGTAAGTTACCAATCCAAACAAATGGTCAAATCTCGCCATAAAAAGTCAGCAACAAATTTCAATATTTATTTTTTAAAATGTATTTATAAATAAATAAATGTTCAAAGAACAAACCATTTTTGGGTCCATATCAAGTTTGGATATAGAAACAGTGTATATTTTTGTCTCTTTGTTCTATATTAATTATCATTTTTTTAAATAAAAAATTATTTATTAAATTATATATTCCTAAACCCAACCATGGAGGCAATAAGAGCTATAATTTGGAAAATTATTCAATGAATTATAATTTATATCTCTATATATAATTTTACTGTGACAGCATTCAATAATTTAAATCTACTACATTTAACCGTGCATAATTGACAGTTTTACTGTGACCGACCGCTTCTTTCAATAATTTATTCCGTTTTTAGCGGCAATAGTTTCTCTTAATCATTTGATTTTACGTTATTATTGATTAAAATGGTTTTCTTTCATAATTGAGTATAAACTCTATGCCAACTTTTGTTAATGGAAGTCACTTTCTCCACGATTTCAATGCTTAACTAATTATAATGGTCGGTTTGAAGCTCACGCAACGATTCATGCATTGAAAATAATCAATGATTTGTGTATTTAGGTTTTGTAAGTAAAAGACGTTTTTAATAATTTTCTTTAAATTAACTATATAGATATTTTAAAAACTTCGTTAAAGGTCGAAGAATATTATTAAATCTTTAAACGTATTATTATTAATTTAGCTTATTTTTTTAAAAATAAAATAAAAAAAAAGCTGCTAACTTTAGTTATTTATAGTTAAACAAAAAAAAAAAAAAAAGAAATCTTCTTGGGATCATAAATAAAATAATAAAAATAAATAAATAAATAAAACCCATTTTTTCTCTCCACACCCACATCACTTAAAACACACCGTCTTTTCTTTTTCACAAAGCTGCTCTGTCGCCATTCTCTTTTACTTTTTTTTTTTTTTTTTTTTTTTTTTTTTTTTTTTTTTTTTTTTTTTTTTTTTTTTTTTTTTTTTTTTTTTTTTTCTCACTACACCCACATTTTTCGTTTCCCATTAAGGCCCACCAGAAAGTGCCTGAAAGTGAAACGTCGCCCTCGAACTTGGAGGGCAGTTTTGTACTTTTGAACGACACGGTAATATAGTTGCACGTGGCATCGAAGTACAGGTGTCAGAGCACGAGTGGTGGAGTTTTGTATTTGTTTTCGATACTACAAAAATGATTTTGTAACCGTTGGATTGAAATTGAAAACTTTTGTGCGGTGGAGATTTTGGTCCAATCAATTATTCTGTGATCAAGATCAGCGGGTGGATCCGAGCGCACGTGTGCATGCGCGACAAGGATGGGACACGATGGCCCAACCCGTCACGTGCGGAGGGAGGAGAGAGAAATAATTTTTTTATTTTTTAAATGGCAAATTTTAAATCAAAATTGGTAACCAGTTACCGTAGCACGCTTGGGTGCCAGACTTTGGGCCCACCACCTTTATTTTCATTTATTACGTCATCAATTTTATTTATTTTTATTTTCTTTTAATTTTTTTGGATTAAAATTAAATAAGATTCTCATTCTCTATAATATCCTATATTTTAATTTTTTTTTCTGTATAATTTTGGCGGTGTTTATTAAATTTGGGTTATTAATTAGGGGAGGAAGAGACACGTGTCTTGGTCTAGTAGGTATACTTTTAATTAATTAGTTTAATAATTCCGCTTCTTCACACCATTAATATCAATCAAATTTTAGTTAATTCAATTAATTAAAACTTATTTCTTAATATAATAAAAAAATTATATCATTTATTTATATATATATATATATATATATATATATATATATATACACACACAAATTTTAGCGGTAAAAGAATTAGTAGAGATGTCCACGAGACGAACGGGGATAAGATAGCCTTCCTGTTCGTGTCCTACCTCTTATTTCATTTCTCATCTCAAAAAATTCTCTATTTATTTCTATATAAATCGAGAGTTTCCAATTTTTTTTTTCTATTTACAATAATAAAGAATAATTTTATAATATAATTATATTAAATAAATGTTTATAAGGGTGGAGATGCGAGGTTTGGAGTGGGACAAGGGTCGGAGTCGGAGATGGGAACAGAAACTCGTATAACTAACGGAGAGAAATCTTTCACTGTTCTCTCTCCCGTTCTCCATGAATTAAATGGACATCTCAAATTATAGAATAAAATTTCCACCCTATTTATGCATAATAATATTTTTTAAAATAATATCTATTAAATGATCCCGTATAATTTATATTCGATGGATCATATAATATATAAATATATTTGTCCAACTATGATGACATTGACATTGGTTTCAAGTGGATAACTCCAAATATCAATTAAATGCTTAATTAGTGATATGATAGTTACATCTAAATATACTTAAATGCTTGGTTAGAAGACTAACTCAAATCAACACATCACATTAAAACTCTGTCTGACACTATATCTTACCCAATTGAACTATATTTAAGTTGATGACACTAAATAAATTTTATTAATAAATGTAGATACGAATAAATATTGAAAATACACGTATTCCATAATGGGGCTAAAAAGAACAAACATCGAAAGTATAAGGATCATATAAATAGCTATACAAAAAGGTGTACAATCGGGTAATAATGGATTATTCTCATTGATTCACTGATTATTCTTTTACTTGCTCAAATGGCTGGCAAACGCCAATCGAGAGAAAGAAATGAATGGCTTAGAAATCGACTGGTTCCAAGCGGACTCATGAAACTGCTGCTTAGATTATCGTAGAAGAATATCTTGCTTTTCTTAGTTTAGGAAATGACTGAACTCTAAAGACTGCCACTAGGAGGCGAGCTGAGTCATTTGTTTGGTCTTGTAGTGCACTCTGCTCCGTTACGAGAATGAAATGACGACCCGGAAAAATTCATCAACAAAAAAAAACAAAAACCAATATTTTAAAAGTACAGAGATCAAAATAATTCGAGAAACTAATCGAAAAATTTGAACGAAACCCTAATTTTTGGAGGGAACCAATAATTGAAGAGAGAGGAGAAATATGAGAATCAATAGACACCACAGAGCCCCTAGGCAACATCCTTCGATCCTTCCTTCCAAATAATTTGGCCAAAACAAAAGGGAATTAAAAACCAAATGAAACGCAGATGAAGACAGAAGTGACAAGCATTTGGTTTGGACAAGTTTCAAAGCCGAAAACAGAGGGCCAAACCCAAATGGGTGTGCCCCTCTATGAGTCAACACGAATGGACAAGCCTACAAAGGGAGCCACAAGTGCCATAAAAGTGCTTTTGGATAGGGTC